TAAGAAAATATGTGTGTATCTCAATTAATGGCCAGTGCTGTTCCTAGTTCTTCAGCATATAACAATGCGTTTCAAATATTTTTGTGAACTTAAAAAATGAGTTTGTGATTGGCCTAGAACAGTGCTGCCTCTTGCTCTAAATAATTATATATTTTAAATTTTTTAGCAGTTTGAGATATCTCAGGAAATCTCAGTGTCTATGTTTAAAAAATTTACAATATTCTGCTCTTGAAAACATCATAATAGGAGGTCTTGTAAGTGACAAAGGATTTGACAGTGTGATTACCCCATAAAAAATATGTACAAAGTGTGAGATGCTGTGTGTGTTGGGCTGTGTTTCTTCCTAGGACATCTATGCTTTCTAAAATAACAGCATTAGTATTGCTGCTTTGAGACTTGGAAAGTGTGTATAGCTGTTCATCCTTGCACTACATCAGAGACAGACAACAGACCAGACCCTGCAGCTGCATGCCAAAATTGTTATGTTGCATAATCACAAGCTGTACTTTGGAAGTGGAGACAAGGGGCAGGATAATAATTGCCTCATTCTGCTTTAAGCTGGCACTTGAATCATGCAGTAACTCCGGAATGATAGGATAATTCAGGTGGAAAGGGACCTCAGGAGGTTTCTTGTGCAACCTCGTGCCCAAAACAGGGTCATCTGTGAGATCAGAATAAGTTGCCTGGGGCTTCACCCAGTTGGGTTTGAAAACCTCCAAGGACAGAGACTGTAGAACTTGTCTGCAGTGGGTGCCTGGTTTGTCTGTCCTGATGGGGACAATTGTTTCCCTTTATGCACATCTGAACCTGTCTTGTTTGAACTTTGGCCCATTGTCTCTTACCCACCTTGCACTACTCCTAAGAACCTGGACTCATCTCTTCAATCTCTTCCTGGCAGCACCAATGGGCTGCTGCTGCTGAGTGTCCTGAAGCCATCCTTCCTCCAAGCTCAACAAACCCAGCTGCCACAGCCGCCTCTTGCAGGGGCAGTGCTTCAGCCCCCACCATCTTGCTGACCCTCCTTTGGACTCGCTTCTACACATGGTAGCAAGTGTTGAGATAGTATGCAAGGTGTCTCTTCTCCAGTCCCCCCATGACAGAGATCAGGATTACTGTGCCATATATGTGGCAACCCCAGTGTAGAGCTGCATGTTTGAACCATATGTATGGTGCTCCTGAGCAGTTCCTTAGAGTCAGAGGTCAGCTACCTACACATCCTCTAATCCTGAAGGTTGAATCTGTTAGTGCCCAGCTTACTATATAAAGAAGCAAACGTAATTGGATTTATGAATCATTTAAGTAGGACTGGGCTGACTGATTTGTGTGATTTTGCAGGCTGATGACAAATGGCAGTCTAAAGAGATTGCCTGGAAGGGAAGGGGGAAAGGCTGTTTGACAACATGGTATTTTTAGAAACTTCTACAGTGTCTCTCATGACAGGATCATGAACACTTGCTTAAAAACAAGAGCACAACTGGCATCTCTGTTCAGATAGCTCCAAAACTGGACAAGCAGCCTACATTCCCAGTGTCTCTTTCTGAAATCAGTTCCCAGCTCTTAAAGGAGGTTGTCTTTTTGCCAAGCTGTCTAGCATCAGTACCAAGTGTTGAACTTTAACATTTAAAGAAACAGAAAAATATTTGATTGTCATAGGGGCAGGTTAAAAGGCTTGATGGTGGAAAGGAGGCAGAGAGAACCTGAATCAAAACATGGTTCCTGCAGGCAAGTTGCAGAATAGCCTTTCTCTGTTGGCTGGAGTAACTGTGAGAGCAGCTGCTTGTTTTAAATTTGCATCCTCTAGAGTAGTGTTAAATGGGCGTTCTCTCTGTGGATGCTGGAAGTGGCACAACTGCTTAATTCACGGTAGCATTAGTTAATTTATGGAATACATCCTAGGTTTTGCATGGCTCAGGCTACAGTAAGTGATCTCTCTAAATTAGTGTTACACAGACCATAGATTCAATCTGATTGTAGGCAAAAAAAAATTACTTAAACTGAAATTCTCAATGGGAAATGTGTTCACTGTAAGTTACTTGCATGTTTTTCATGAAGTTAATACCAATAATCTTTCAATTTAAGTTAATTTTAAAATTCCTGTACATCTAGGTGGCATTCCATTAAATCCCCTGCAGATGATGCTGCTTTGTAGAGTTATTGCACATGCAGAATAGCTGGTCCTAAATACTGCAGAGAAAAGAGCTGCAAATGTGTAGCCCAGTTCATGTAATTTTTACATGGTGCTGATACCCAGCCTTTATTCTTCATGATGCACTATCCCTTGCAGGATGGACTACAACTGGACCTGCACCTCCCATTTCAAAGGGAGAACAATAATTGAAATGTGCATGCAGCCATGGCTCCAAACACTCAGGCTGCTCAGGGACCTGCACAGACACATCAGGCCATTTGGCTGAGGTTCCTGCCCCTCTTCTGCTTGTGTTGCTGCCCCAAGTGAGTTTTGGCTAGTTTATGGGTATTCTGTATCCACACTGGGGGGTTTTGTGGTGTTTCAGAGTAGATGAAATAGGAGAGGTTATACCTAATGGTAAACAATATGCTTGAGCTGCAGGTGAGGGGGTTTGGTTTTGTTTGGGTTACAAGGGAAGAGACAGAACGGGGATGCTATGCTTTCATGATAATAGCTATTAAGTGAGTTGAATGCTTTGAGAACCTGTTGTCCCTTTTACCTACCATAGGAGGTATAAACTTGAGGTGCTGGAGGAGTTTGCACAACTCTCATCACTGTTTACACTGGTATCCTTCCATTTGTTGCTTAACTGGCAACATCTTCCTCTCATAAGGCCTTCGTGCATATCCGTCTTGGGAGGACATCCTGGTCAAAGAGCAGACCTGAAAGTTTGTTCTTAGTGGTTGAATTGCAGGATAAGATACCTGACAATTGTTACTACCCTGTTGCTTTCATCAGTCCATGCCATCACTATGAGCATCACTTGGGCATTTGGCACCAGAGCATGAGCACTAGAGGCCACTTAGTGCTCATATTTGCAGGCTGGTATGGGATGATTTATGTGCCCATTGTGGCAGAGTAGCTGTTCAGTTTGAGAAAAAAAGAAAAAGAAAACAGGAAAGCATATGTATACTTTGCTCTTAAAAGTGAGAAATTTTATGGACAAACATGGGAAATATTTAGATAAGCCCACATGGATTATTTTGCATCTGTTATTGCAGGACACTAAATAGAGACAAACTGATAGGCCCTTCCCAGATAGGCTGGTTTTCAATTCCTTACCACAAAATACTATCTGGCTTGCATAACTGTAGTCAGTTCCTGCATCTGTGCTACACTTACCTCAGGCTAGCCTAGTGTATTAACCCTCCTTGCTGCCTTACAGCTCAGGGAAGTATAGCTTCTGTTAGTGATAACACCTTGTGGCTTTGATGAAGTCACAGAACATGCCAAAAGGAGGCATTAGATCAAGCCACAGCTTTTGTCTGGAACCACAAGTAATCTTTCTTGGCCTTGGACAGGATAGGCAGACCTTTCAATTGCAATGACTGGCACTGCCTGCTCTTGCCAAGCAGCTGTGTCTAGTGGGGGAATCAAGAGTGGTAGCTCTTCATCTTTTGCCAGAACCTCTGTGGAAGAAAGCAGCTTCAGGAGGCTGGTGCTCTAGTTTATGCTGCCACGAACTTTGTGTATGTGTTAAGAGATGGCAGTCAAGAGATCTGGTGGCTTCTTTTCCTGTCCCCCTCATGTCTGACAAGTGCTTTTCAAAAAGTATATTGCCATCCAGCTTAAAGCAAATGTTGTTCTTGCATCTGAAATGATGTAGTTTTCTGCAGCAAAATCGTGTTGTTTTCATTGTGTCATGTCCTTTCAACAAGTACTGGACACTGGATTTCTCTGCTAGTGCTGTGACATAGCATTCTATGCTGATGTTGCCAAGCAGTGTTCTTAAGCAGGTTGCCTCCAGTTTGCAGAAGTGTGCACCGATGTGGAGACTGACAGCCTTGCCATGCTGTATTTCATGGACAAATTCTTGATGCCAGAAGCTATCACAGGATCCCCATGCGTGTGAAGAACCTGGCCCCCAGTGTTTCATTTTTTCTAGTGGTCCTGACTTCAGCCATATACTGGGCTGCTAATTATTGCAAAAAGGTTGTATGGTATCACTCACGTGTAAAACTGAGAGGAGGAACAACATCCAAGAAGAGTAAAGTTCATGCTTTGGCGCTTTTTTTTGGCTTATTCTCTTTAGATTTGAGGGTAGGCTATCCAAAGTAATGTGCTGGGTTTTTGGGATTTTTTTTTTTTTTTTAACATTGCCTTAAGAAAGTTTTTCCCTTACAGTTGGTTCTCATTCTTAGTTTCTTCCTTCCAAGAGTTGATTCAAGAATTGCCTCATCCACCCAAAATAGCATAAAGCCAGGAAGACAGCAGCACTTGGGAAAGAAGTCTTTTTTTTTCTGAATATAATGTGGTTGAATTTCTGCCGGTCTTCTCTTCCTTAGTGTTTTTAATGACCATCCATTTCTTCAAGCTCCTGGGAATACTTAACTCAATAATGTGCTTTTTTACTATATGTAGTTACAATTCCTAAAGCAAGCAATTTGGCTTCTGAATTAATAACAGTGGTGTGGACATTTGAGACTGCTGTGGAAGGCTGTTAGGTGGTGGGAAGGAAGTCTGACCAAGACTGTGGTTGTGAGGAGTGTTGGCTGTGGGGAGGCATTCACATCCACGTCCTCCTAAAAACATACTGACAGAAAAGGTGGACATGACTGGTGCATGTCTGTTTGACAGAAGAGGGCTGTGGTCCGAAAGCCTCCTGTCAGGAATGCTGCCCGGGCTTGGGCCACTGGCCCCATCGCTCCCGTTTATATCCTGTGACGGGCGTCAGCTGCCGGCCGCTGCCAAGGGCAGGAACACAAGAAATATTTTTGTAAACGGGGAATAACAATTCTTTTCTTCCCAGGCAGAATGGAAGTGTTTCTTCGCCTTCCCGGGGCGTTTACAGGCACGATTGGCTGGCGGCGGGGGCGGCAGGGCCCCGGCAGGACAAAGTCTCTCTGTGGAGGGCTGCTCAGAGCCGGCTTTGTCCTGCCGGGCTCCGGCCGCCCCCGCGGGCTCCGCCGCAGCCCCTCGCCAGCGGCCCGGCCGGTTCCCTGGCGGGGCGGAGGCGGAGAAGATTCCCGAGGCTGCCGGCGCTGACCGCCAGCCCCCGGAGCGCGGGCGCCGGGCCCGGCGATGTTACTATGGGAGCGACGCAGGGCTCCGCCGGGAGCGGCCCGCGGGAGCCCGCGGCGGGGGCGGAGCAGGTCGGTACCATCCCCGTGCCCTCCTCCTGCCGGGCTCACCCACCGGCACCCCCGCCCCGGCCGTGGGCCCCGAGGGGAGGCCTGTGAGGCCGGCGCACGGCTGTGCCCCTGACCGCGGGGCGCCCCGGGACCGCCGCGCCGGCGGAGCGGGGCAGGTCCCGCTCCCTGTCGGGCTGCGCCTTTGCCCCGCGCTTCCCACCGGCGCGGGCTGGCGGAGACAATGCTGGAGCCCAGGGCGGTGGGAACACCGTGCTTTTTCCAGTTAAATGGGAGCGGGGAGGCAGCTTGTCCTCCGAAGCGCCTTTCCTGCGGCGCCCGAAGGCTACACGAAGTTTTATGTTTTAAATACTGGTTGGGCTCAGGGTGCAGGTCAGTATTTTTAACTGAAAATAAGCCCAGTGGAGAAGCAAACTCGGAAGTCTGATGAAGAAAAGCCACTTCCCCCTCTCATTGGTCTTGGCTTTTTAAGATTGTCAGTTGCTGAACTGCAGTAATCAATGTGGCTATGGAGTACTAGGCAGCATCTGTCAGGAGTGGAGGGGTGGGGTGGTGTGCATGCCGGCTTGCAGAAAACTGAACTTATCTGTAGTCACTCCTCACTCCTCCCTCTCCCACTAAAATGTGGATGGAAGCCATAAACACATATTTACACCTCATACTTTGTTCTGTGGTTTCTAGAATAATCAGTACTCTCAAGTATCCTTGCAATGTTGATTATTGTATGAGATTATTTCCATACTCTGTGTGTTCGGGTTGTTTTTTGGTTGAATGGTTTAGTTTTTATTTGTTCTTGGTTTTGTTTGGTTGGGTTTTTTTTTTTCGCCACAGAGGACATTAAAAGCTGGCTAACTTAATCCACTCTTCTTGTTCTGTTATCTTCAACCTCACCTGTATTTGAGTGTTTCATCTCTTCTTAATCCTTCTTGTAAGCCCTTTGACACAGATCCCAGTGTATTTGACACTGTTGCTCCAGTAGGTTTGGTAAGTAGGTGTAATCGTTGCTGTTGGTTTAGCTGAGAGAAATAGAAACAGCCATAATAATGTGCTGGTGCCTTGCAGGGGTCTCTGGGGGATGAGGTTTACATGTGTTATCCTGAGATGGATGGAAAGTCCGACTCCTGCACGTTTGAGCTATAGGAGTTACAAAGCCTGCATTTACAGATGTGCACTTCATATGGCTATAGCTTAAATACTTTACTTAAACGAAGTTGCAGTCATGGAATGATTCCTGAAGTAAGCTTTGTATTGAAGTATTCAAACAAATGTAGTGTCAGACTGTTTTCTGTCTCCTTCCATTTGTGCCAAATAGCAACATTTTTTCGGTCTGCTTTTATCAACATCGGTCAAATCCTTTTGAAGTTAATGGCAATACTTCTGTTGGCTTGATAAAAAGTGTGGGTTGTTGGGTCTCAACTGGGTGTATAGCCATTTTAGAGCCTGCCTTTCATATAAAGAAGTAGGAATTAATTGGTTTGGTTAAAGCTTCTTTTTGGTTCACAGCTGTTAGTCCATGCAGTATGGAAGTTGGTTGTTGGTTATGAATTCAGTGCCAGCTTCTCTGTCAGCAAAATGGGAGCTTTGGCTGATCTTTCCCTCTTTCCCTCTTCCTACTGTGTGAGACTGCAAGAGAGCTCAATGTTTCTTATGTGGACTCAATTAAGTAGGGAGACATGGTCAGTGTAGCTACTGCAATGGTTATGTTCCTTATAATACAGTTGCTAATAAGGCCACAATTCCATTTCTTTTATAAAGACACCAGTTTGCTCATTATTTGGTAGAAAAAGAGAGAAGAACCTGGAGAGATACTAGAGCTATGAGTTCTAGCTTCCTCTTTATTTTTTCTAATGAAGCTATGCAAATACTATAAAACTTATAACTACTAGGAATTGTGACTGTAATTCATGGCTGTTAAAATTGTACATGTACTTAGAATAACTTCATTTTTTAAATCTATATTTGGAATATATTTCTTACCATGAAAATTAAGAGCTCTCCAAGAATTTTGTGTCATCTGTGCTGATAGGAGAAACATACACTGCAAGTACCAGCCTTCAGGCAGATTTATGTTCCTGAATGCTTCCTAGCTGAAGCGTACAGTGGAAAACAATATATAAATGCAGTTACCCTCATTGCTTTGTGAGAATAAAGAATCATGTAACTTACTAAATAGTAGGAGAGATGCCTTCATGAACTCTTCAGGCATCTGTATCCCAGATCTTCAAAATGCAGTAAAGAAGAAAATGCTCCTTCAAGGCCTGCAGTTCTAGTAGTTAACTAAACAGGTAGATAATCAGCAGCAGCCTTCCAGGTGTTTGTGTCGTGTGTTGTACCCTATTAAGTAATCAGGGAGCAATATCTTGCTTGTCTATTCTGCCACTGGAGTCTCTAGATCTGAAAAACAATACTGCGTAAGTGTTTCATGTGTTTCATGACTGAGTTTTGGATGGTTCTTGTTAAAAAAACACAGTATTGAAAAAAAAACTTGGAAAGAAATTAGCTCTGATCTACAGTATCTAAGTACAGCTACAAAAAATAATGGACCTATTCATTATTCACTGATTTATGACATAATAATGTGTCTTAATTAATATGACTTAATACTTACCGTGCCCTACCTTTTTCTTGGAAATGCATGCCTATTCTGTGATAAGAAAGCATTCCGAATGCTCACCCTTGTGACTTTTAGTCAGTATGAGCTTTTCAGAGATAATGCAGGATGTCTAGCTAGACTGTCATTATAGGCTCCATAAACAAATCTCTGAGAAGCAAATTGTTGGCCTTTGACTGAACTGAGCAGCTTGCACTTGGCACTGATTGCTCTTCTTTCTATGTTCCAGCACTTGCAAAAATCTAGTGGATAATGTGAGTTTCTTTTAATGGCCATGGCTGAGGATTCTTCTGTCCAACCAGTATTTCACAAGCTTTTTGAAGAGTTGCAGAACAGTATGAAAAATAGCTTACATTCTTTTATTTCTTTGTTTTCCATAGCAATTCTTATTCCAGAAATAAAAAGTGGTCAGTAGTTTTGGTTATTCTGTTCATAGAGTTGATACATTATTAAAACAATTGAAGTGACAGTAGCATAGCTAATTGGTAGCATGTGTGTGCATGCTCTTTAGATGATGCATAAGAACTCGTTTATTCTGTGTGGATCTGTACTTGCATTGTTTTGTCTGTAGGCTAAGTGACAACTATAGTTTGGCTGTAAATTTTTATTTTCTAACACTTATGTTGTTTCTGACTCGGTACTTTGTTGGGAACTCCCTTTCAGTTGCTGGCAGTTGATAAATACTTGTATGTGCTTTACATCTGTTATGGTGTGTTACATTAGGGAAAAAAATCCCAGTGTCAGACTTCTGAAGACATAGTGTTGATTGCAGATGGATGCCTGCTGACATTTCTAATAGCTGCTGTGCACTCAGTTTCCCTTTGGCAATAATTCTTTCCTGGCTGTTTGTGTGCAGTGCCTAGTGCTGAAAACCTGAAAGTTTTAAGGGTAGGTTAAGATGGTGGAAGAAAGTGAGGAGTCTTGTACCTCAGAGACACTTGTCAAGCTATTGGTGGAATGTGAGACCCCCTGTACCAGTGTTGATATATCCCTCTTTTCGGACCCTTTAGTGTATGTGAAATACTTATAATCTAGTTCTAAAATATGTGGATGTCTTCAGTATGTTTATTATTTTCTGAATGGCTTTTTGTTTGACAGGTTATGATGTCTATTTAATATTGCAATGGTGGTTAACTATAGAATTTAATACGTTGAATTTTATTTATTAACTTCTCTCCCCTGTTTTTGTAATTTGACCTAATTTTCAGCTCCTTTTCCAAGTTTTCTTTTCCTGCTTTATGTTGTAGAAGTCAGATAAGTTCCTAATAGCTTCTGCAGCAATAAAAATGGACTTAAAGTCCTAGATCACAGTAAGTTGATTAGATTTCTTTTAAAAGCATTTTCATCTGTAGGCAGGTACATAACTTCAGGGTTTTTTCAGGTGGGAACTTTATTATAGTTTGCTTCTACTTTGTGTGTCAGAAGGTTCTTGAATTGTATAATGCTCTTTCATGTGGCTCAGACCACAAGAAGAAAACTTTCTGTTCCAAATTTCAGTTGAGAATGAACTTCTAGTAGTTACCAAAATGAGATTTGCTCTGGGTGGTAATTTAATGGTTCTGACCTGTTTAGTTTCCCTTCAGCCACATATGCAAAAGGATTCTCTTGTTTTTCCTTCTTAGTTCTTTCCAAAGCCTCATGTTGTTTATGAAAGTTGCAAAAGGAGGAATATTTTTTTTCTGTCACTTGCTGAGCTTGTTCTGGTTAGTTTATTCTTTGTGTACTCAGTTTGCAGTTCAGTGGAAGTGGCCCTATTTCATAGGGACGTGTCAGTTTTGTTTCATTTAATAGTTGGAGTGAAGCCTGAAGTTACTTACATTGATGTTACATGCATATGAAGTGTTTCGGTAGAAATATTGCATCAAGGGCTCTAGTTTTAAATTATTCTGCTAGCATCCTTTCAAGTGAAGAAAGAAGAGCTGCATATAAACTTGGATTAGTGCTATAGGAATGAACTAGACACATGAAAGTTACTATCTTGATAAGAAAGAAAAGGGGCAGCTGGCTTCACCCCTCTGCCCCTTGTGTTGATTTACTGCTTGTTTGTTGACTGCTGTAATTAACACTATCGGTAGGAATAATTTCTACATATGCTGGAAGTGTATGTGTTAAATTCTTCATAATTATGTTAGTAAAATCATGCATAACTGCATGGTATACTTAGAGTTCACATCCAGCCTTGG